GTACCGAATGACTGCTGGACCGGGATACCCCATCCGGCCGCCCGACATATCGGCACGCATCCCCCTCGGCGCAACCCTCAAGAAACCTGATCACGCCCCTGAACCTTCGCTGGGGGACTCCACACAGTCCCACTGCGGTTCTCTGCGCCGCCGTTATTGGCCAGCCAGCGTTCGTAGAATGCCCTCAACGCCGTAACTTCGTCCGCGGCGCTGCGGGCGGGCGACTCGCCATTGGAGTCCGATCTGGGAGGCCTGGGGCATTACTGTTTGTGCTGAATCATCGGGAAAATCTCCAATACCGGCCCTGTTGCTACCTTCAGAAGGTCGAATGCCGCGTCTAAACACCTGGTGTTGGGACTCTCCGCATCGTTGGGTTTTCCCAGGGCAAACCCGAAGAAAAAGGGCACGAACAGGGCCCGTGGCGGCTTTACCTTCCGGCATGTTTCACGGACCATTGCGATGGTTGTGGTACTACTCCATGCTCTTCAATGACCCTGGACAGCACACTCACGGTGTGGTGCAAATGGGTCAAGTAGGGGTCAGGAGCGCCACGTCTACTACTTCTACTCCCTCTCTGCTCTGCCTTTAGGCGGCGAGCCACGTCCCGGGCCGGTTGTTCCTCAAGCAGGTTGCTGGCGTCCCGCAGCGCGCCCATAAAAGATTAGTAGTTGGCAGACAGTTCCCCAAACCTTTCCTTGCTCCACCAACTCTCCCGCAGCCGGTCCACCGGAAATGTGACGTTCAAGTCCCGATAGATGCCGGTATGGTCGAAGCCTATGGAAAAGTGGCTTTGCACCACGTCCGCCGGGTTGCAGTCGCTGGGAATAACCGATCATCCAAAAATCTGAACGCCGCAAAGCACATGGATAGACCGAAACGGCCAGTGGGCCCTTAGTAAACATTATGGCGCCCCGGCCCACTTCTCCCTCGTCCATGTCCCCGTAAGCTTCATTTATTTGGTCGAGCGAATAGTGACGGACCCACCAGGTCGTCGAGGTTCACCGTCCCGACAGGTATAGGTCAACCATGGTGGGCATATCCGTGCGACCCCGGCCGAACCGTAGTACGTCCCCGCAGGGTCTTCTCGTTTCGGACCAGGTCCACGGCATTGATGGAAGCCGTCTCGGCGCCCATTGGAGCAATTCCACCACCGTAACTGTCCCGCTCTTCTGCACACATATCGTAGGCGCTTTGACCGTTTCTTGCGGAACCGAAACCTCGAAAGTATAGTCGCGCCCCGGCCACCTGTCCATTCCTTGACCTGGGCACCGGGTCCCGTCTTGGCGCGTTTTACCGAGTGGGTATCCCCAACTTCATCGCGAATTCAAGCTGGCTCTCGCGGATTCCACCGCATATCTGGAGGCGTTGAGCAGCTTGGCTCCCATAATTACGTTGAGTCCCACCCCGCCGCAGCCAACCACCGCAACGGTGCTGCCGGGCTGCACTTTGGCGCTGAACATGGTCGCACCAACGCCCGTTGGAACACACAGCAGCCAATCATCGCCGCTTTGTCCATGGAATGCCGAGTTCGTGGGATACAGCCGGTTTCCCGGCACCACCGCATACTCGGCAAGCACGCTACCTTGCCCATGTGGTGAATATCCTTGCCGCCCTTGTGGAGGCGGGTAGTGCCGTCCAGCATAAAGGGGCCCGTGGCCATGTGCAGATCGCACAGGTTGGAGTTGCCTTCCAGGCAGGACTTGCACCTGCCACATGCCGGAACAAAGGACAGAATTACCTGATCGCCGGGCTTGGTCAGGGTAACGCCGGGCCCCACCTTCTCGACGGTGCCCGCTCCCTCGTGACCCAGCACCGCAGGCAAGGCGATGTTGGCATCACCATGCATAAAGTGCCGGTCGCTGCGGCAAACGCCGGCGGCGCCAATCTTCACCAGCACCTCACCGGCCTTGGGTTCGTCCAGGTCGACATCCTCAACCATCAAGGTTGACCATATTCATACAAAACGGCAGCCTTCAATTGCGGCCCTCCTGAGTCTATTTGGTGTTTATCATCCGCATAAGCCAGCTGTATGTCACCGCTCGATTTTTCCGGAGGCGTCCTCAAGCTATTGGAACCAAGGTGTATCGGGATACATCGGATTAGCTGGTGGCTTGCCGTAATGTGGCAACTGGCAAAATGTTGTAATATTCTATCTGTCGAATATGTGTGCCTGACCCCGTTGCGTTAGACCTACCCTCCGAGGGAGTTCTGGATGTTGGAACTAAGGCAAATAACCGCCGCCGAATTTGAGGAATGGGTTCGGGTCGAGGCCAGGGCCTACGGTAACCGGCTGAATGTCGATCCGGAAGTCCTCCGGCCAAAATTTTGACCTGGACCGGTCCATTGCCGTGTTCGACCAGGGCAGCATTGTCGGCGGTGCCCATTCCCACCTGCAGGAAATTTCAATACCTGGCGGCACCTCTGCAATTGCGGGGGTGGCTAATATCGAAGTGCAGCCCACCCACCGCCGGCAGGGCATCATGACCAGAATGATGCACCACCAGTTAGAGGACATTTATCAGAGAGGAGAGCCGCTGGCCGGTTCTCTTTGCTTCCGAAAGTGTAATTTACGGACGGTTCGGCTACGGTGTTTCGTCCCTGCGCGAGGAGTGGACCATACCGCGGCATTACACCGGGTACGCAGGACGTCATGAATACAGCGGCCGATTCGAGTTCTTGAATCCTGCGCATATCGGTGCCGTCTTGCCCGAAGCCTTCCGGCGCAGCACCGTGGGGCGTCCCGGGGGTTTTTCAGAAATCTCCCTACCTATGGGAGCGAGAGGCACAGGCGCCGGAGCACCGACAGGGAGGCAGAGGCGGCATATTTTATGTGGCCTATTACGTGGGCGAGCAGATGGAAGGCTACGCCCGTTATCGCACCAGCGGCGACACGGTCATTGTCCATGAGTTGATGGCAGTGACACAGGAAGCCGGGGCTGCCCTTTGGCGGTTCTGCTTTGACACTGACCTGGTAACTCGCGCCGAGGCCGAGCGCCGTCCGGTGGACGACCCTCTGCCCTGGATGCTGGCAGACCCTCGCCGACTCCAACGGGCGGCTCGCGACGGCCTGTGGCTTCGCCTGGTGGACGTGGCGACGGCCCTTCCCATGCGCCAGTACGCCGAGGAGGGCAAAGTGGTAATCGAGGTGCAGGACAATGTTTGCCCCTGGAACGCCAGGCGTTTCGCCCTGGAAACGGCGCGTGAAGGGGCAATTTGCAAAGCCACCGAGGCTGCCCCAGACATGATAATGTCCGTGGCCGCTTTGGCCTCCACCTTCCTGGGAACTGTCACCTTTCACCACTTTGTCCCAGGCCGGCTTGGTGGACGAGAAAAAGGCCGGGTCGCTGGCCCATGCCGACCGCATCTTTGCCGTCCAGCAGCAACCCTGGACTCCCTGCGGGTTCTAGGAACCCTCTGAACAGTCCCTTCCCCCGCGCTAAAGTCGTCATTCCGGCACAGGCCGGAATCCAGCAATGCCGGAGGCCAGGCTCCGGCTTTCTCCGGAATGACGTTGTTCAGACCTTCCCATGGAACCCGCGAGTTAGGCGTATTCCGCAATCGCCCCGGTAAAACAGCTTCTAGGCGTCGGCCAATGGAACAGCCAGGGATGTCCGCATTTCGTCGCCGATGCTCCTGGCAATGTGGCCGTGTCCCGTCAGGTCCTCCGCCACCAGCACATCACCGGCAAAAAGACGGCGAACTGTGCCGTCGGCGGTTTCAAACTCTGCTATGCCCGCCAGGTGACCACGTATTGGCGCCGGGGCGCGGTATGGTAGTCGGAAAAGGTGGGGGATGGACGCGTATTGAGGTTTATCTCTCCCTGCCCCACCCGGTTCACTATCTCGGCAAACTGTTCCGGACTCAGGTCCTCAAAGTGAGACTCCCCGTCGTCCCCGGAGTATACTCGCACTATCTGCATTAGGGATTCCTCCTGCGTTTTATGATGACCCTTTATACCACAGTTTTCCCCCGATAGCAGACACTTCCCGCCAACCAGCAGCTATTCTTTAGCTACCCTGTCAGGCGCATAGAGCAGCCTTCCAGCAAGACCACCGGATCGAAATCGGGCTGACCCACTGGCGGCGGCTGTGGGAATCTCTCAGGGAAGACCGACCACAGCGCCGCTGCCACCGCGGCCACAACCGAGTCCAGCGCGTCGTGGTTCCGCAGCGCAATTTCCTCAAATCTACCGAAGTTAAACTCTATGGGATAGGCCCTTTCGGGAAGCTCGGAAACAATTTGGCGTCGCCGTTCGGCAGCCCAGGTCCCTCCCTTGTAGCCCTTGAATGGTAATCCCAGCCTTCTCAAGACCGCCCCGGGCATTACTTCCAGCAGCTCCGTTACAGTATTGGAACCCTGTCGCGAAAACTCGGGCAGCGGGGGCGCTGAAACGGCATTTGCCGTGCCCCCGATCCAAAGCTTGTGCAACATCTGCATGCCGTGGAAAGTCATGGGCACCATGATTGGATTGACCATGTGCAGGCAGGAATAACTCTCAGGCGGGTCGCAGGCCCGCTTGGGTTCACCGTGAACTGCCACGAAACGGTTCCGCAGGTCCAGAAAGTCGTCATACCCCAGGCTGGATGCCGCCGCCCACAGGTCGGGCATAGTTTTGGGAGCCGGGCTCCCAAAACTCGGCAAAGGCCTTCGGAGTTGCGAATGGAAAGTCCAGGGCCGCAACCGCCGGTCCGCTGCAAGTTGCCAGGGTCTCCGTCAAGTCGGCCCGGGTAACCCTGTCACAACTTTCCAGCGTCAGGCTTAGCCCCTCCAATTTGCCCTTGGTGAGCCACGTATTACGGTCGTCCCTGGCCCCGCTGTAGTCAATTCCCAATATCTGCATCATATGTTGTGGTAGCCCCTGCCCACGCTGGCCGCTGGGTTTATTGCCTCTGATAGTCGAGGGTAGTATAGTTTCAGTCCGGGTAGCCCTTGAAGGGCGTTCCTTCCTGACTCTCAGACAGGAATTAAACCTGACTCCCGACACTGTTGTTCGGGGAGTTGCATTAAAGGAGAATCATGAATCTGACTGCAAGACGTGAAAGATTTCGCGCAATCCTGGCGGGCGACCGGTGCGTTCACCCCGCCTCCGTATTCGACCCCATGTCGGCCAGGGCCGCCGAGGATATCGGTTTCGAGGTAGGCATGTTTGCCGGTTCCATCGCTTCCGGCACGGTGCTGGGCGCCCCTGACCTCATCGTCCTGACCCTCACCGAGTTTGCCCAGCAGATCCACCGCATCTGCCGCGCCGGCGACATCAGCCTGATGGTTGACGCCGACCACGGCTACGGAAAACGCTCTCAACGTGAAGCGCACGGTGGAGGAACTGGAGACAGCCGGTGTATCCTGTCTGACCATCGAAGACACCCAGCTACCCTTGGGCTTTGGCGCCGCCGGAGAGGGGTCAGTTAATCTCCGTGGAAGAGGGCATAGGCAAAATGAAGGCTGCCCTGTCCGGTCGCCAGGACCCCGCCCTGGTCGTCGCTGGCAGGTCCAGCGCCCTGCGGGTTACCGGCCTGGAGGATGCCATCAAGCGGGCCAAGGCTTACGAGGACGCCGGGGTTGACGCCATGTTCCTCGCCGGTGCCCAGACCCGAGCCGAGGTCGAAGCCGTGTCCGCCGAGGTAAACATTCCGCTGCTTTTGGGCGGTGCCGGCGGCGAACTGGCCGACCTGGACTTCCTGAGCGGCGCCGGGGTTCGCGTTGCCCTCCAGGGCCACCTTCCCTTCGCAGCGGCAGTCAAAGCAGCCTACGACACCATGAAATCGCTTCGGGATGGGGTCAAACCCGCCGACCTGACCGACACCCTGGCCTCCCCCGAACTAATGAACCAGCTAACCCGCCGCGACGATTACAACCAGTGGGTCAAGGACTTCTTGGGGTAGGGCTCCACTCCTGTCCCCGCACCAGCCTTTTAAACCGAACGCAAGCTAAGGAGGTCAAACCATGAACTTCACCCAGAACCATCTCCATTTCCGCAGCGAAGACCCCGATTCCGCCGCCAAGTTTTATTGCGACAACTTCGGCGCTGTTATTGCCTCGGAGCGGCCCTTGTCCACCACCAAGTCCATTACTCTAGAGATGAACGGCCAGACTTTGATGACCATATCGGGCCGGGCCGAGGGCGAGGATCCGGTGCCAGGCTCCACCGAACCCCGCTATGGCCTGGACCACTTCGGCTTTGAGGTAGACGATATGGAAGGCGCCGCCGCTCAGTTCAGGGCCAACGGCGTTCACATGATCTGCGAGCCATGGACTATGCCTTCCGGTTCCATGGTGGCCTTCATCGAGGCCCCCGACCACGTCAGCGTTGAGATTATCCAGCGGCCCAAGGCATAAGCAAAGGCGAATTCGCCGATTCTCAGGCAATGACAAGGGGCGGGTTTCACACCCGCCCCTGCTTTTTGCGCTGCTTCATCCGAATCTCAGAACAGCGTCACCAGTCGTCTGGGCCCTGACCATCTGGCGCAACTACAGATTCATGGCCTCCAGGCCGACCCGGGACACGTCTTCGTCAGCCTGCCCGCTGGGGTAGCCGCCAACGCCAATACCACCCAGGATTACACCGTCTTTCATGATGACCAGCCCGCCTTGGCCGTGGGTCAGGTTGGAGTCGCCCATCTCGCTGATGCTGCGGCCCTGGCTGTGCATCCGCTCTGCGTTGGCGCCAGTGTCGCCTCCCATAATTGCCGCGGTGTAGGCCTTCCGCAAAGCATGGCGGCGGCTGAACATCCGCAGGTTGTCCATCTTGGCGTAGGCTTTCCAGGTTGCCGGCCGCATCGACGATGGCCATGGCAATCGGTGCGTCGGGGTCTCCATGGCTTTGGCCATCATTGCTGCCATTGCCGCCTGTACCTGTTCCAGTTTCAACGTCGTGTCAGGCATGATTTTGCCTCCTGTTTTCTTTTATCCACCTATTGGGACGAATGTACACTGATGTCATCTGGGCGGCGGGCTAACCTGCCAGCGCCTCGGACACCCGCTTGCGGAAATCCTCGGCAGCCAGGCGCATCAGTCCTGGGAAGAGACTGTAACGAGTTGGCGCCCAGCTTGATGAACTCCGCACGCCGGCCGCATCGCCCGGATTGTTGCCGCCCACGCCCACGTTCTTGCCGGCGGCTCGTACCCGCGGAATTACATCGCCCATTACCTTGCGCACCTCGGACACCGGCGGGAAGCCCATGCTTTGGCCCAGGTCGGAAGCGGCGACGTGCAGTACGTCGGCGCCGGGCACTGCCAGGATCTGGTCAGATTGTTGACCGCCTCAACCTCCTCCACCATCGGGATGACCAGCAGTTGCGAGTTTACCCACGTGGTGGATTCGTCCCTGGTAACCCCTATGCCATAATCATGGGCCCTGCCACCGCCCATGCCCGCTGGCCATCGGGATAATACCGTGCGGCGTGAGCCACTCCGGCAGCCATTCTCCGGTGTTGATGTGGGGCACTATGTATGCCTGGAGCCTCGGTCAGGAATCGCAAATAGTGATTCTCGTGGTCGGGATCGGCTATCGGAGTTATCTCCAAAGGACTCGGCGGCCGCACCATGTGCTCCACCTGAGTCCAGGTCATCTGGGCCGTATGTTCGCAGTCATCATGACGAAGTCATACCCGACGGCCCCGAATATTTCACAAATCGGGTGAGTAGCGAGTAGTAATAATCGCCCGAAGACCACGTCGCGGCGCGCCAGCTTGGCCTTGGTTTTGTTGTTTGCATCGAGTTGCTCCTGCGTTTGGCTCGCTTCGCGATTATATGACGGCAAGCGGGCTGGCAGGCGGCGTTGAACGGTGTCCACCCGCGTCGTCCATTTGGGATGCCGATCTGCAAAATAGCTGAAAATATCCCTTCCGGCCACACGCTCATCAGGTGTATTAACCTGGCAGATCCTTCTCCTTCCCACGGTTGTCAGAAACCTGATAAATGGCATGGACTTCTTCGCCTACACCGCGCGCCAAAATCGGCGCTCTGGCCGCGGAGGACAGCAGCAGGCGTAATGCCCTGTTCCTGGGCAACCGGGTCCACCGTTCGGGCGATCGTGTGGCCCTGCACGGCAATATCACTGTCGATACGGTGGTGGCCCAGGGTTGCCGTCCCATCGGGAACCATGCGCATAACCCAGAGTCGGCAAACATGCTGGAATCCCTGGACGCGAAACGCCCTTTAACGTCCTCAGGGGCCTTTTCCCGACGTTGAATGAACAGACCAGGGCTTATGCGTCAATCTCTTTTTCTTGGCGTGGTAATGGACGACTTCATCGAAGAGCCCCAGCAGGGCGATTTCTTGATCCGAAACGTCATGGGCATGGACGATCGCAGCGGTTCCCTGGCTATCGGCGAAATGCTGAAAGAGGGGCAACTGGTCCAGTTCCATCTCCGGGATCCGACACTAGCCCAGGACTTTGGCGGCAGTGCTTGACCGCTACGCCGGGACAACCGGGAAAACCAGGCCCATGGGCTCTGCTCTTCTCCTGCCTGGGACGAGGTCAGTACGTGTACGGTAAACCAACCAGACACCGACTGTTCCGGACAAATGGGCGCCGTTCCGCTGGGAGGGCTTTTCTGTAACGGAAATCGGCCCGGTCAGCGGTTCGACTTTCCTGCACGGCTACACCAGCTCCTTCGGCATATTCCGCCCCAAGATGTAGCTCGGGAACTGACGCGATGTCCTGGACCGCGGAGAGACTGCATGCCTGTCATCAAGGTTGGTTGTCTCGGTTTCCTGTCCGGCCAGTTTCACCCAGGGGCTACAGGCATTGGCCGGTTTACAGGCTTGAGCGAGGACGTTAACCGTGCGGACGGTTTGGCGGTGGCAGGCCGTCGAAACACCCTAAAGTTGTCCACTACGACGACGCCAGCGTTGACGAGGCGCCACCGTGGCACCCAGACCTGATTGAGCGGACCGGGGTGCTCTGCTGTTCGGCCTCCTATCCAGCGGACTGGCCAACGCTGCCGCCACCAGTATCCGCGACACTGGCAGGTAGCTGTGAACGCAGGGCGGCGCTGCGGATGACATATATCAACCCGGTAGCCGGGTGGTAGTGGGCACTCTGAACTGGGCGCGGGGAGAGTACTCTGTCCGAATGCGGGACTCCTCCGGAGTTCCGACCCCCTCCGCCAGCACTCTTGCCATTGTTCGTTGCTCGGCCGGGGCTTTTCCCAGGCAGGTCAGCGAGGGCATGGAACCCAGGCAGTTGCACAAGGCTTCACCAACGTTATCGACTTGAATTCCCACCGACATCGGACTTTTCCTCTATAGTTTCCAGTTACACCAAGCAGACCGACCTGTTGCTGGTAGTGGGGCGCATCAGGCACGACATTTCTCTTTGCAGGCCCTTATTCCCAATGGAAGACCGCCCCACGCCCAGGGCAACGCGGTAGTAGCCGCTGGCATTGCCCGCTCAGGACGGAACTGGGAGCGACCGTTGAGGCTTCATCGGACCCAGCCAGTGGAACCTCCCGCGTTGCACGATTCAGGGATATTGCCCTGCCCTTACATTGGCCCCTCGCCAAAACAGCGTATGGTATCGTTGGAGTGTGCACAAACACTCCACTGCAGGCTGCCTGCCACATTGACTACCCATGGCCCAGGCCTCTGCCGCCGGCCTTGGGGCCCAGCGTTGCCTGGGAGAGCCGGCACCCCTGACCTACGGCGCTTGGAATGACCGCAGTGAGCTGGGACTTTCACACATTTCGGGGAAGATTCAGAATTGAACGGCGACGGGGAGAAACAGGTGGGCGTCAGTTTCATGGTTCAATGGCCGCAGGAAGAAAACAGTCGTATAATCTAGGCCCCCGGAATACCGTTTCAGCAAGTCTGCAAATACAATAGGGCTCGCCGGACAGCCGGGATTCAATTTTAGACGTAGGGCGGCCTGGCGAATGCGTCTGGAAAACAAAGTGCCCTCATTACCGGCGCTGGCCGGGGTAGCAGCCGCGCCATCGACGGCCTCTGCCGGCGAAGAGAGCCAATCCTGGCCTTGGCCGCCCGCAGCCTGACGACGAGTTGTCAGAACACGGCACAGGCAGCCAATCCCTGGCGGGGCCTCCACCGGCGTAGTCAGCGTGGACGTCGTACACGACAGGACGCCGTGGCTGCATGGCCGTCACGCGGAAGGGAATTTTGGACGGATAGATAGACATCATGGTGAATATACGACGGTATCGTGGGGCCCATTGGCGCCTTGGAGGACAACGACGTCAATGCATGGATTCCGCACCATCCAGGCAACCTGGTGACACCTGTGCTGCCGGGCGGGTGTGATTCCCATAATGGCCAAAGGCGGCGGCGCGGTCGAATCATCAACCTGTCCGGTTCGGGCTCACCTCCGACACCTACATCGTCGCCTACGGCTCATCCAAGGGCCGCATCATAATTCGACTGACTGAAATTCTCTCCTGGAACTGGCCACGACCCGAAAGAAACATACCAGTCAATGCCTTGGGGCCGGTCCTCACACCCGGCATGTGGGAGGAGATTACCGTCAGGCCAGGCGTCGGGGACACGAGCTCGACGAGTTTGGATTGCAGGTGGTAACGGCGGGGGCGGAGCCTCCATCGACCGCGGGCCGACAGAGCTAGCCGTTTGGCTGGCCAGCGATGCCGCCGATGGTCCTAGCGGTTCGTCGACTGATTCACGCGGTCGCCGACGACTGCTCTTTTTCTATGTTTGACCCAGCACTGACCCCGAAGATACCCAACAGATTATGCATCAGACTTGTACACGAATGCGACGGGAAGAACCGCCGCAGGGATCAGCCGTCCAGTCCCCGTGTGTAGAAAACCGACACAAAACCCAACGCTCTCACAAGTCACCTTCCCCCTTGACCGCGGGAAGGTTATTAAAATGTAGGCGCCGAGTTTATCGCTGAGCTCTATAAGCTCTGCTC